TCATTAGGTTCTGCTTTTTTTTTTTAGTTTTTTACTTTTTAATTTGAATTTAATATATATTTAATATTTAAATTTAATCTGAATAGAATAAAAAATTAATTTAAACTAAATTAAATACTATAATTTTAAATTAATTTTAAATTTTTTTTTTTCACTCCTGATGATAAGAATTTAAAAAATTTTGAAATTTCACCGCTTTTTGAGTTTAAAGGAATAACCGATCTATTAGCACTTAAAAATATAGCAGCATAATCAAATATTAATTGATTAAAAAAATTTAATTATATAGTCAAAGTTTGAAAGCCTTCTCCATTAAAACATTTATAAATTCATAGTAATGAGTACGGATAGAATTAATTATTTTCATTGATAGGAAAAAAGAATTTTCCAAAAGTAATAATAAATAGGAAAAAGAATTAATTTACAAACTAGTAACCAAGCTAAGGATTGTTTTAAAGTCTCTAACAAAATATAATATTTGGATGGTAAGTTTAACAACATCTAATACATATGAATTAAATTTTTTGTTTTTACATTGTTAATGATAAATTAAATGTTTTGATATATTGAAATAAGAGAAGGAATGTCTGAAAAAAAAATTATAAATATTAAAATTTAAATTTTATTCTCACGACATTCAATTTAGAAATTATGATCAATTGAACCAACATTCATCTTTGTTGAAGCTTTTAGACACCTAATGATGTCATTCAAAGGAATTCACTTCATTACACTCATAGAGCTGAAAATGTCTGAGTTATTTGCCGGAAAAGTGATACACTATTAGAATTGTTAACCAAGCTATTCTATTTCCAATCAGCTTTTTTATTTTTAGCAATTTGCAAAGTTGGTACAACAATTCTAAGGTAAACGAAAACAATTTCAAGACTTTGAAAATTGACCAAGACATTAAAACAAGGCACGGACTTTTGTGTTGTATTGATTTAAATTGACTTTTGTTGATGTTGGGCTCTGAAATCGTAATAAAATAAAATAAAAAGTGATTAAAGACAGATTAGGAGATGTTTCATTTGTTTGCGTTTAGAAGCTCAAGCTAAACATTGAGACTAGAGAAATTGGAAAAGGAAAAAAATAGGGATGTAATAATAGAATGAAAATAAAATAATAGTCTTTAAATGTTTTTATTTATAAGCAGAAGATATGAAATTTATGAAGTAAAATGAGAAATTTATGAAGTAAAATGATGACGTAATATTATACATATCAGATTAATCTAAAATTTTAAAAATTTTTAATTATTTATTGATAATTTTTAATAAAAAAAATGAATAATATTATCTTTGAACTCGAAAATATCCTTCGAGCATATGCTTTCTCATAAAATGTTTGACTTCGTGCATTTTTTTTATTGTCACGGAGAAGACGTTTGCTTTTAAGAATATTTATGTAGCTAAAATTACATGTCTTTGTCTCTTAATTTTCATATAAATTCCTACCCATAGTTGTCTTTAACAAAAAAAAAAAAAAATCCAACCTTAACAATCAATCTCTATCTATCTCATTCATTAGACAAAAATATTACTCGTTCAAATTTTTTTGAATTGGCTTTTTATTTATAGTTTTTAATTCATGTTGACAGGAATATTAATATAGAATTAAGTAAGAAGTATCCAATGAACGCTTTAAATGTCTATGGATAACTCAAAAGAAAAAAATTAAAAAAATTTTAAAAAAAAATTCTTTTACACCTTAAAACTTTTTTTGTTCATCTTAAAGAGTTGAAAAAAAAATTTGAAGAAATAAATTTTCAAACACTTAAAAACTTTTTTATTAACACATTTATTTATAAAATTAATAAATTTATCAATATATAATATTATATAAAACATTTTTTAAAGAAATTTTAAATTCATTACTAAAGAAATTATAAGTGTTTAAAAGTTTCTTGTTTGAATTTTACGAGAAATGAAGATTGTGAGAGATGTTTTATTCATTTATTTATTTTTGGTCAACTGAGAGATGTTTTATTTATAGGAATAGCACTTTAATTTGTTTTTGATAGGTTTGATCCAATCTCATAAAATTATTTTTTTTAAATCAAATTTCGAGTTGAATCATGTAATAATAATAAAAAAATTCAGATTGAGTTTGAAACAAACTTGTTTTGATCGGATGTGATATATATAAATTATTTTTTAATTATTTATTTACTTTTATATTTATATTTTATATATTTATTTAATTTATATTTATATTAAAATATAATATTTTATTAATTTCAAATTGAATAAGATCAAATTCAACTTTATACAATATCAAATTCAAATTTAAAAATAAAAAATTATTAAATTAAATTTAAACTCAAATATTATAAATATAAAATCGAATCAAATTAAAAAAAAAAATCTATTCCAATGCAAACGGATACCATTCTATTTATTTAACGTTCAAAAAAATAAAAAGAAGTACTTTGGATGAACCCTAGTACATATTACAAGTACTAGTTAGCAGTAGTTTCCAAGGACCAAATATGGAAATGGGTAGTCATTGTCATTATAGCTATAGCAATCGAAGTCCTGTTCCCCACTCCAATAATCAAACCTGCAAAAAATGAAAAAGTGTTAAGGTGTGCCATATTTTGTAGGACCAGGTACTCTCTCTTGTTCTTTAACTGTTTGTTTAATCATCCTTTTAAGTGATGATTGTAGGTAGCATAAAACTTGTCATTTGTTGAAAATATCCATCATTTTGATAACATTTGTTGAAATAATTATGCCTTTTTGCTTTCATTTGGGTTAATGATTTTGGATTATAGTAGCAGCTAACCTGAGGTTATAATCAAACAGTATAAAATAGGATATTCTTTTACATATTAGCCTGTTTCTTCCATTCATTTTGATTCTTTTTGGGAACATTTGTAATAGTATTATTTCATGATCAGATAATTAAGGAAGAAATAGGAGAAACTGATCATATATTCATTTTTCATTATTGCAATTCTTCCATTACATTTTCCCCCTTACAGTTACAGAGCAGCGAGAAAGACTGAGTTTCCAATTGAATAACCAATACCACTTTCCCTACAGCTATGGTCTTATCCTTGTTTCTTTCCAATTTGAGGAATGAATGAGTCATCCTTGTTATTTCCTATGCTATCTTTAGCCCTTTTTGTTGCTTTTCTTTTTCCTTTTCCATTGAGAGCGAAGATGAAGTCTAGGATTCTGATATGGTTGCAACACTCGGAATGAAAGAATAACGCTTTACTTCCATATCACATTAGTTTTGAAGAAACTTTTTTACTATGTTTTCCTGGAATCTGCTCTTTATCATTTTCTTTCAATTTCACAACTAAAAGCAAAAGCTTTTGGCCCAAGTTGTTTAAAGTGGAGAAACTAAGGAACTGTTAATGGGTGTTGTAATGTGCAAGCTAGATGATGTAACTTAATACTAGTTGATGAAAGAGCTAACCTTCTATTGGTGGTCAAAAGGCTGTTTTGTTTTGAAATTCCCATTTCTCACATTGAAAGGAAATCATTAAGTTAGGATGGACAGACGGAGCATATTTTCGGCCAATCTGTTGATCACAATGCTGCTTACCATTTCACACCCACTTACACCAAAAAATCAGGAGCTTGCTTTTTTTTTTTTTATTCCACTAATATATATATATATATATGTATATCATATTTGATGCATAAAATTATGATATAATAAAATAAAATGATATCATGAATAAAATTAAATTAAATAATATCATTTTATTTATAGCACAAACCAAGAGTACATAATTGTTGTATCCTTAAAAGCTTCAAATAAAAAATTACAGAAGCTTTTGGTAGGTGGTTTTGATAACTGTTGACACCGTAGACGGCAATCCTACATGCAAGATCAGCCTGATTGGCACTGATACCATCCTTTTCATCAGTTGCAAGGCTTGCAGCAATTTGTTTCACTCCTCCAAGTTTACTTAGTTTTTCAAGGTTCGTCTCACTTACCACCTCAGTGAGTGTATTTTGATGAACACAGAGAGAAGGTAGGTGATCATCACCCGAATTATTGTCATGGATATCAAGGGCAATACAGGATAGAGTTCGCAAGATCTGCTTCTTGTTAATAACCTTCATGTATAAAGAGACAAGAGTCATGGAAAGATATATGGCTGCGAAAACGGAACGCCACCTCTTTTGTTGTCGTTTTGCTGCTGGCATATATGAAGCATCATGACAATAAACCATTTTCCTTTTTCCACTTGTGGATATCTAAAAAGAAAAAAAAAATAAAAAAGAGGATAAAATAAAGTTAGAAAGCCTTGTACGAACCTTTTGTTGAGGCTTAATGTGGTTGGAACCTTGCCCAGTATCACTGGTCCTTCACCAGCTTAGTTAGGCCGATTGTTAACCATTAGCATTTTTTCTGGTCCATTAGAAAAACCAGTCAACTTCTAAGAAATGTTCAACCCAATTGCCTAAACCAAATTAATAATGATGAATCTAATAGTTTTGCATCCCATATTTTAAGTTGGCTGTGCTGAAATCTTTTGTCTTTGATGCTGTATTGGAAGGTGCCTGTGTGAGTTATTCAGTTTATATTTTAGCATTGTAAGAAAACTGACATATATTGATATTTAAAAAATCATTGATAAAATAAAAAAATCTATCAATATAACACAATAAATATAACACAATAAATCCTATATCGACGATCAAAATATATATTCCAACAAATTTTTAACTATCGATATATCTTTTATTAGTATAAACTTATACTGATGATTTTTAAAATGTTAAAATAGCTCGTAAAAATATATTTAAAGTTTAAAATCGTCAATAAATATATATTTATTGGTATAACATCTGTTATATGTTCCATTATTATAACTTTTACCGACGATTAACACTTATCAATATAGATTTGTATGTTTTAATTTTTCTTACTTATATTAATGGTTAATACCCATTAGTATATACTTATAATTTTTTTTTATCTTCACCAACATTTAAAGCACGTCAATATAAAGTTATATGTTTAAATTTTGTTATCTATACCCACAGTTAGTATTTGTCAATATAGACTTACATATTTTAATTTTTCTTATCTAAACTGACAGTTAACTCCCATCAGTATAAGCTTGTAATTCTTCTTACCAATATTGACGCATAATATCTATTAGTATAAACTTGTATTTTTTAATTTTTTTTACTTATACCGATGATTAAATATTATCAATATAAGCTTGTATATTTTAATTTTTTATTATATTTTATAGATGATTGATGATTGTTAGTATCACCTACAATATGCCAACAATCAAATGCATCAATATAAATGTTAAGACATTGGTAAATTTTTTAAAAAATTATATTTTTAATTATTAATACTAATTTATTTATAATCATAATATGATATGTTTTCATATAAACGAGAAATACACAATAAAGTAAAAGATATTTAATAACATTAAAACTACAAGTAAATTGTTTATAATCTACAAACTTAGCATAGCTCAAGAATTAAAGTCATTGTACCAAATCTGATAAAATAAACATCGATAAAACAAATATCATTGAATGTCTACAAACATAATGCTTAAAGTAAATAAAAAACTTCTTAAAATAAATGATCCCATCATAGATTTCTATAAAGAAGTATCTACATAGTATAAAAAAAACACAATTAGATAATTCTTATAAATTATTTTATATATATATAAATAAGTTAAGAAGGTAATCATCCATTCATATACCAACATAAATAATTTTATAAACATCTTATTCATTCATATATATACCAACAAAAATAATTTTATAAACATCCTATTCATTAGTGTAATATAAGAAAATAAAGTGACTGTAAAAAAGTCACTCTTTTATAGTCATTGGTTATTTTTTATTTTTCCGCAGCTGGGACCCATTTTTATCTGCCACATGAGAAAATTTGATTGTAAAAAAGAAAAAAAACTTACAGATTTTTTGCCACTTCCATATTTACTTTGAATCTGCACATAGGTAACCATTTAAAATGTCAAATGTAAAAAACTTGAAGCTTAATGACATTGCACGGTAAAGGATGGGGAAAGAGAAAAATTGCAATGCTCACTTTTAAGGAAAAATCAGTTACATCCAATAACAACAGCTTTGATTCAAAGTAATGGGCTAAAGCTTTGGCAAGCATTTGGTGGTAAAGTTCTTCAAGAAACAAAGAAAAAAAATGCAATTAGCACCTTTATAGAAACAGACCTATAATTCAAAAAATGTGAAGTATAGCCTGCCAGTAAGAAAAAAGACTCCAGGCAACCAACCTGCAGGTCTTGATAGCAATATAGCTTGACTAGCAGGGGAAAGGCTCCTGGTGTACTTGAAAACATCAGCATGTTTCAAATGGACATAGGTTGCACTAGTCAGCAATGCTCGAGTCTGCTCATTGCCAAACAAAACCAACGGGATGAAGATGTCAAAACAAGCAGGACTAGATTATAGGATGACAACTCACCAGTAAGCAGATCATTCGAACAATGTTATCAATACTATATTGCCTATTCTCTTTGCCTTTTTGTAACTTGGATACATGATCATCAAGTAGAACGCAACACAACCTTGATCTTGTTATTAGATTCAGTAAAACTAGGCATTCAGTATCAAGCACACGCATAAGGCTATAAAATCCATCCAAACCTGTTTTGAGTTTAAGCCTTTAAAACCTGTTTGTTCAAAAAAAAGGGAATAATCTTCATCTTAGGTTTGGCAAGCTACCAGATAATACTATAATGGGTAAGCAAAAATATCTTAGGATAGTTATATACAAAATAAATGAGTGAGATAACTAGGAAATTCAATTTAAAAACTCAAGAAAACAGAAGAGCATGTGAAAGTGATCAGCATTATTAGTTCAGTAGTTTTCCATCATTAAAAGCAAACGTTTTCAAAAACTGAAAAAGAAAAATACATTCTTTTTTATTACAATGAAAAAAAATTTCTTTTTCAAATATCAAACAAGAATGAGAAAAATGTAAAGTTACCTGAGATAGTAGGGAAACTGATCAAAGGTGACGTGGCTATCTCTGCCATCAACGATTTGGTAGAGCAATTCTTTCTCCAACTTCTCCAAAGTGATGTTAGTTGCTGCAGTCGAATTGCTTCCATTCCATTTACGGAGTCGAAGCCGACCCTAGACTGACTCATACCCCCATACCCACCCCCAACGCCAACAACAGTATATGCTTTTATTCCATTTCTTGCCTAAGATTTTTTAAACCCAATCTTTAATCCTTTTTCTTGGGAGAATTAATTTTATTGTTCTTCAGAAGTCTTATGTTTCGGAAACCCAAATGAAAATCCTTCGAACTCTTGTGATATTTCCTCTGTCTCACACTTGGTACATATACCTTTTTTTGGTTCCTAACAATTAAATGGTAATTTTTTGAAACATAGGACAAAGGAAACATAAGGATTTTCATTTATCCTATTCATTTGTGTAAGCTTTAATGCATTTATCTTATTCATTGGTTATTTTTTCAGTTACATCTATTAGTTGAAAAATAAAAATGCATTTCCCAGCTGCTGAGCAGCTACCTACAGTCAGGTCTTGAATAAGTAGTTAAAGTAGATCACCTTGGCTTATTCACCACATAGATAGGAGTAAAATTTATTCATTTTCTTGTATGTTTGAAGAACATGATATAGATATGGGGCAATTCAAATTACAAGTTTGGGGCTAGAATCAGAGATGACAAAAGAACATGTATCAGGCTAGAATTCTGGTTTGCATGCATCAGATCATAACATTAAGGCCAAACAAGTCAACAAAAACCCTTAGCTCTTGTCAATCTTCCTCTACAATCTCTGACATATACTTGTTGGCATCATTTTTCAATGGTTTCTTGGCAAGTAAAGACATTGAAGCACCGCAAGAAGCAGGAGGTGTTACAAAAGCAAAGTTTGGTTCATGGCGGCCACGAAGTTCAGAGAATAAAAGTACAAAAGAAGCCATGGAAAGAAAACCAAGATTTATCACATAACTGCTTACTTGGTGATCAGATCCACATAATTGCTTGAGGTGCAGCTGGTAAATTTCTAAAATTTGAACAGCTTTGAATTATCACGTCAGGGTTGCTCCCTAAACCGAAGTAGTGTCTAAAGGATGCAAGGTTGACATATGTTGTTAGACCAAGAACAACAAGTGTTGATCTGTCAAAATGTATAAGCAATTAAAAATCACTACAGAAAGCCAGCATATAAAAGAAAATGATAAACCTTTTCTACCAATATACAATAAGATGACAAATGAAAGCCATCCTTCATAAGCAATTAAATCAGTAATTTTATAGAGTTAACACAAAACATTTTCAATTTTTCACAAATTCACAATATTACAACAAACTGTAAAAATGCAGTGACAGGATTCTGAAAAAGAATACAAAATCATAAAGAATTAATACAAAGAAAAAAGGAAAGAAAGAGCAGAATTAGGGTTTGAAACTCATTCGACAACAAATTTCATAACGAGGCTCCGAGGAGAACGTTGGAGCCCGGCGAGGTAAAGGAAAAGCTCGACAGCAAAACAAGAATCGAGAGAGGAAAGAATATCTTTGGCCTGTTTGAGAGACGAAAGCTTCACCACCAAATCGGCATGGTTGTTCACAACGGCGAGGAGTGAGAGGGCTAGGTCTCTAGAATTGGCGATGGCCATGGCTTCGGCTTCCCCTTGGAGAATTTTGATCACTTATAGGTGGGGATTGTTAGAGGGGGGAAAGGGTTAGGGTTTTAAGGATCGTGGGGGTTAGGAGTGGAGGGAGCATAAGCAGATTTTGAGGACGAGCAAAAAGTAGTTTTGGGTTTTTTGCGGGATTTTTGGTTTAATGATAATATTATAAAATATTTAATATAATATTTAATTATAAATTATTAATTAATATAATACTTAAATATTTTATTTAGAACCTATTATAATTTAAAATTAATTAAGTTACAATTTTTATTTATTAATAATTATAATTTTTAAGAAATTATAATTTTTGAAATTTTTTATTTATAAATTAATATTTTTCAAAAAAAAAAAATAAATAGTTTTTGAAACTTATACTCACGGTTATTATAACTGTTGGCATATAATATACTTATACTGATAGATATTTATATACAATCAAAAAAATTTACTTATATCAACAGTTGTATAAAGTGTTGATATAGACATTGTATATTATGACGATATTAAAAATTCATTAGTATAGATATCTTTTATTAATGTAATTTGACTGTCATTATAATTAAGCATTAATATATGAAAAATTTTGTGTACTATATATTGACAGGTAGGTATAACCGCCAATATATCCTATAACTATACTAACAATTAATTACTTCCGTGGATATAAGTACCTATGGATGGTATTTACTAATTATAACTTATACTGATAGTTAAAATACAATCCGCCAATATATAAATATGTATATTAATGGTTATTTATATATTGTAAAAAAAAGATCAATGTATACTAATGGAAGAATAAAGTGTTAGTGTAGGGATTGTCTATATTGACAATAACAAAAATCGATCAATTTAGATACTTTTTACTTACATAATGTAATCGTCAGTATAGGTAAATGTCAGTATATAGCATACTTATACTGACGGATAATTATATATCGTCAGAAAAAGTTTATTTATATCAACAGTTGTATAAAGTGTTGGTATAAGTATGATATATTATGATGGTATTAAAAAAATCATCAGTATAAGTCTATTTTATTAACATAATTTGATCATTAGTATAACCAAACGTTAGTATATAAAAAATTTCTTGTAACGTAGATGAAAAATTGGTGGATATATATATATATATACATATATATAAATATGAGAAAGTTGTTTGGGTTGTATTAATGCAACTTGAAGAATCTAATTGATAGGTGGCAATGGATACAAGGCCAGAAGAAAATCTAATGTTGAGGAAACTTATGGATAGAAGTGTAAGTGAATATAGCTTTTAACGAACCGTTCGTTAATATATTCGATTTTTGTTCATTTGTGTTCATTTACTAAACTTAACAAATGATCTTAAATATTATTTATGCATTCGTTTATTAAACAAACTAAATATGATAAGTTGTTTGCTCGTTCATTTATATTCACGAACAAGCTCGTTTATAGCTTATTTAAAACTTGTTTGTTTATTATTTATTTGCTGTTCGTTTATAATAATACTGATAAAATTATATTTTTATCCTTTATCCTAATCTTATTTTAAGGTTCGTTTATGTTTGTTTAGATTCGTTGATGTTAATTTAAGGTTTGTTTGGTTATGGTTTGTTTATTTTTTATGAATTGTTCATTTATATATGTTCATGAACTTATTTGTTTAATATTCATGAACAAGTTTGTTTAGCTTAATTGAATGAATAAAAACCGAACATAAACAACTTATTATTTAAATGAAGAAACATGAATAAACAGAGTAAATTTCTTAATGAACAAGAACTGAACACAAATACCTTTAAAAAAACACAAACAAACACAAACATACGTTCATTTGTTCATGTTCGATTCATTTACAGCCCTATTTATAAAAGGAGAATGAGGGGAATTGATGAATAGAATATGGAAAATGGTGATTTTGATAAGGTAACTAAACTTTGGATGAGGATATTCAAGCATCATTTTATTGGAAAGATCCCACAACAACACTTTCTTATGGGGGAATTTGATGGGAAAATCTATATAGCTATTAGCTATGTATCATTCAATTGTTTCTTTCAGAAGAGAAACAACTTCACAAGCCAACCAGTTGCCCTCAAACAAATTTTCATTTTGAAGATAAGTCGAGACATTGTTATTCTCAGCCCATTGGTCTATAATTACAAATAGAAGTAATTATTTGATATACATAAAATGAAGTTTTTTTAGCTATATAAACAAATATGTTTATTTTTTAATTAGTTTATTTTAATTTTTTAAATTTATTTAAAAATATGTATTATTTTATTAATCTTATTTTTTAAATTAAAAATTTTATTAATAGTATATATTTGATCTTAACGTGGTCGCTTTTCCCTGTCATGCTAGATTCATCCACTTTCAAGGAATGTCCATTCAAGAACAAGCCATCAGCTGGAATTTTTTCGCCAATCTTCAAGCACACAATATCACCCACCACAACTTCAAAGACTGTGATATATATTGTTGGCGCCCGGTTCTTAGAACTTTCCACTTTAATATCATTCCTTTCACTTGAGTGCTTCAGGAATTGTCTGTTTTGCTTAAAGTTACACACAGCAGATATGGAAGCAACTAGAAAGACAGCAACGATAATGCTCACACCATTGTATCGCGCGTCCTCCATGTCGTGCTGCTTAGTGCCAAAACCCAAGGACAGTATAGCAGAAACCAAGAGTATGATCATGGTTGTATCCTTAAAAGCATCAAATAAAAAGTTACGGAAGCTTTTGGAAGGTGGTTTCTGATAACTGTTGACATCGTAGATAGCAATCCTGCGTGCAAGATCAGTTTGATTGGCACTGATACCATCCTTCTCATCAGTTGCAAGGCTTGCAGCAATCTGTTTCACTCCTCCAAGTTTACTTAGTTTTTCCAGGTTCTTCTCACTTACCACCTCAGTGAGAGTTTTTTGATCAACACAGAGAGAAGGTAGGTGCTCATCACTCGAATTATTGTCATGAAGAGAAGGTAGGTGATCATCACTCGAATTATTGTCATGGATATCAATGGCAATATGGGATAGAGTACGCATTATCTGCTTCTTGTTGGTAACCTTCCTGTACAAAGAAACAAGAGTCCTGGCAGAATATATGGCTGCAAAAACCGAACGCCACTTCCGTTGCTGACGTTTTGCTACCGGGATAACTTCTGCATCAGACATGGCTGGTTCACCAGGCTTACGATTTATCAAAGACGTTAATCGACAGGGAAAAAAGGGTTCAAATGATTTCGATAAGAAATTTTCTTTAGGGTGTAGAAGGAAAACAAGATGGAGAAATGGAGTTTTGGTTAAGTCAAAAAGAGTGACTTCGGGAAGAATAATTGGTTGAGATACGAAGGAAGAGTTAGTATCATTGCAAATTTATATAGTTGATGCAAAGTTCTTTATTCCTGACCAACCTTGGCTTTTCTCCTTTTCCAGGAAATTTCACCGTAGCTTCGTGAAGTAACAGGTCGGACCAAATCGAATATGGTTTATCGTATTATTTAAAACTAATCTAGTGTTGTTGTTGTCGTCAAAAAAGAGTGATTGAAAAAGTTTGGATTGAAAAAAAATGTTTGAAAGAAATATGATTTAAAAATTATTAAGTATTTTTATGAATTGAAATGTCGAAAATAATGTGCATATAATAATAAAAATTTTGTTGAATCGTAAACTGACACAAGCATTGATTATCATTAAAGACTTCTGGTTCTAATAATGCATTTTGATGGAATATTATTCAGGATTGCAAGCCATGTAAAACTACTTTTGGGGATGTGATATTTCCAAATAAAAGAGAACCAAACCTTTATGATACTAGTACAATATAAATGAGATATTCTTTATCATGTCATCATTTTTATTTTTTTTCATCTCTCCCCCCTCATCGTTTCTCATCTCTCCATACACCAACATCAATACATCAATTTCTCGAATATTTTTCTAAAATAATTTATAATAATGCCAACTCAACCCCAACTCTAAAGCTTCGAGAATTCTGAAAGTCGTTCTTGGAAAAATGCTTTGCATCTTATTGGTAGGGCAATCAAAGTCGCCAAACTAAGCAATCAATCAAAGTCACCACAAACCATGGAAATTTCTACCTCATTCTGTTTCCAACTTGAAAGAACTGTATGGATTTGTTGGAGTCTGAACCGGACCTGAGAAATAAGCGAATGTAACGTGATGTTGTAATGATTTTGTGTTCATACGATGAATTTAAAAATAAAATAAAAAATAATAGAATTATCATTAATTTTTTTATTAGATACGATTAATCATTTATTAAAGTTTTTTTTTTAATTTTAAAATTAATTAAAAAGATAATTTTATAATCTACAAAACAATCTAAATATGAGTTGATTATATATGGAGAAAAATTAATATCCCCATAGTATCCGTTTAAAATGGCACCAATTAATTACGTGTTATTCATTGATTTTGATAAAAATAATCTTATTTTTAATATTTGAAAAATAATTTTCTTAATTTTTCATTTATTGGAAATTAATTTTTTAATATATATTATTATTTATTATTTTATTTTTATTCGAGAAAAATAAATTAGAACATTTTTATTGAAATAATTATTAAAATATTTTAGTACGTTGGTAACATTAGAAGAATTCCTTCTCACCTACAAATTTTTTAGGCATCACTTCTCGGAATACCTTAGAATTTATCATCGGAGATTCGAATTTATTTTTTTGTAAAAATCATGTTGTGCATGTAATGCAAAAAATGCTAATATGTTAATGCACACATTTTTTTATTTAGAAATTTTATTAATTTTATTTGATTTCTTTTTTATTTAAATTTTTAAAGAAAATTTTTTTTTATTATATTAAAGTTTTTCTATAAATATTCTAATAAACTGGTAATATGTAAAAAAAATCTTCTTACATAGGGATTTCTTAAAGCATCTCTACTCGAAATGCTTTTAGAATCCCATCATCGGATAAAAATTTTTTGTCTCATTTTTATTACTTTACTTTAGTTTTTTTTTTTATAAATTAGGTAATTCTATTTTTTATTAATAGAAAAATTTTTTTATTATATTAAAATTTTTTTATAAATACTCTAATACACTGATAGTATTTTAAAAAAATCTTCTTACCTAGATATTTCAGAGATATCACTACTCGAAGTACCTTTGAATC